GCCTACAATTATTTCTACAATAATGGTATTATGCAGTACTTGTCCTTATGAGACTGAGTTCACTCAGCATAATGCTATTCAATTCCTCCCCAGTTATGTAGTAATTTTCGAAATCGTGAAGAGTGCCGCGTAGTATTCCATGCTGTGAATGTACCACAATTTCTCACTGTTGCTGTTATGAAGTGCTGTTGAGTTGCCAACGATTCAAAGCAGCCCTATGAACAATAAATCCGAAACTTACCCTATCCTGTGCCATCTTGATCTACTCTGACATCCTCATGCCCAGTGTTATAGTCACTGTGTGAATTATATTCTTGAAGGTCTTTCCCTCCTTTGTTTACCCTTCACCTTTTCAAGCATGAAGTTCTTTTCCAAGAACTGGATCCTCCTAACAGAATGTTCAAAGATTCTGAGATTAAGCTTCACCATCCTTGCCTCCAAAGAGCACTCTGGCTGCACCTTCCCAAGGCATGTTTGTCCTTTTGGCAGTTCATGGGATATTCCAGCATTCTTCTCTAAAACTACAACTCAAAGGCATCAGCTCTTTTCCTCTCATCCTTATTCACTGTCCATCTTTCAGCTGGGTAGCAAGTAAATGAAAAGATCATGGCTTAGATCAGGTGCACCTTAGTCCTCAAACTAACATTACAGTTCTTAAGCACTTTGCAGAAGTCCCTGGCAGTAGACTTTCCCAATGTAATATGTTTTTTGGGGGGTTTGGGTTTTGGTGGTGTTTTCTTTTTTTTTTTTCATTTCCTGGCTGCTAGTGCTGAGGGTGTTGATTGTAGATTCAAGTTGAAATAATTCACAATTTTGTAAAATAAAGGTGACTGTTTCCTTTGGGGCTGAGCTATCATAGGAAGAAAACTAAGAGTAACACAAATAACCTTAATGACTGACTTCTTAAAACAAGGACCACAGAGCTAAGCACTTTACCTGTTTCATCACGTGTAAACCCCTCCCAGGCAGGCATTATTTCTGTCCTCATTTAGAGAAGATGAATCTGAGCCTCGAACACTGGCAACTGGCCCAGGGTCACCCAGCTGTGACCTCTTAGCCATTACATTCTACACAAGTGCTTGCAAGCCTTAATGTGTAACTCTAGCTGGAAAGATGGCAGTGCTAGTTCACACACTCAGTGCCTGACCTTGTATTTGGCATTTGCTGAGAAATGAAGGGGCTTCTAGCACCACTTCAGTGGGTTTGAGTCTAATGAGGCAGAGCCTCTACTTGAGTGTCTAACAGTGAGGGCAGGAGGCGGCCAGGTTGACCCTGCAGTGGGGTGAGTAGCTGAGTTGAGAACAGAACCTCATTCTCCTTTATTTATAGATGTTGTTGTGGTGGTGGTGCACTTTAAAGTTGGAACTGACTCAGCTGATCCTTCATGTGTTTGGAAAGGTAGAGAAGAGTTTGCCCATTCTTCTCCTGCGGTGCAGCTGGTGGTGGATTAGAACTGTGGGCCTTTGGGATTGGAGCTCAACCTCTTACCACGAGGCCATTAGAGCTTATTTACAGATAGTTTTTTTGAAATGAAATCAGAAGTAGTAGAAAGGGCTCAGCTGGGGCAAACAATCCACTGGAACTGGGGCCAATTAATTTACTTTCCTGTTCTCAGAGAAATAACTTTTAATGTTTCTGTTTTCCAATGGATTTAGCTGTTTAAGAGTTCATTGAAAAGGTAATTCCACACAATTGAATCTGAATAAGTTTTTGCAATTTGAGAAATCTGTTTAAGCTGTTATATACTGTTGAATCAACTCCGACTCATAGGGACCCTATGAACTGTAGCTCTGAACCCTGCGCTAACTTGAGCCAAACTCACCATCTCTAACAAAACTGACCTCACTGCCACAGTCACTGAATCAATCTATCTCACCTTGGTCTTCCCCTCGTGAGATGACCCTCCAACCTTTCAGGCATGTTTTTCTTCAACAACTGGCTTCTCCTGGCAACATGTTCAAAGTACATGACACAGAGCTTCAAAACCCTTGTGTCCTAGGAGCAACCTGATTTTACCTCTCTAGGACAGATTTGTTTTCTTGGTGGTCCATTGTATGCTCAATACTTTTCTCCAGCACCACAACTCAGAGGCATACATTCTTCTTCTGTTGTCCTTGGTCACTGTCCAGATCTCAGATGCATAGCAAGCAACTGATAAGACCAAAGCCTACATCAGATGCACCTTAGTCTCTAGACTGACATCTATGCTCTTTATCACTCTGGAAAGGATCTTAACAGTAGACTTTCCTAAAGAAACTAGTCTTTTGATTTCCTGCCTGCTGGTGCCAAGAGTCTTGATTGTGAATTCAAGCAAGATAAAACTGCTAACAGTTTGAAACTGAAAAATTTGAGTGGAGAATAAAAGATGCCATTTCAAATGGCAATTCTGAGAGTAGCTGTTGTATGCCATCGAGTGGGTATTCAGAAGCAGCAAATCACATGGGAAGCCATTCTTAACCTTCTCCCATGGAGCAACTGGTGAGTTTGAACTGCATGCCTTCAGGATTGGAGTGTAGTTTCTTAACATTAAGTCACCACAGCACATGTAAACCTGGTCTCAGTGACAGTGTGCTGGACTTGGTCTCAGATGCACAACTCTTCACCTCCTCCCACCATTCAGCTTTATCCTCTCTCTTTCAGTAGCTCCTAACCAGACTGCACATTTTTAATCACTAGGAATGCTTTAAAGAGAGAAGATACTCATCTTTGCAACCTGAGAAGAGGATTTAATTGCCCAGAAGTCAGTTGCTACATTAGAATTTTGAAAAAAGCTTTCCAGATGACATTTGTCTCCAAACATTTCAAGGCGCATATTTGTAACTTTAAAAAAAAAAAATCATTCGTTGCTTAGCTGAGATCCATATTTAACTGAGAAACCTATACTTTGTCTGGCAACCGTACTCCATTTTCCTCACTATCTAAACCGTCAAGTCCTGTCAGATCTACCTACAAAATGTATCTCAATTTCAACTCCACCATCTCCTCCCTAATCCATGCCACTGTCACCTGGTCTCTGCTGTGTAACTTTTAATGGCCTCTAAGGGGTGACCACAGTAAATCTGCAAAAGCACATATGACATCATGCAATCCTCAAGCTTAAAACCCAACAGCTCTTCCAGCTGCACTTAGAATAGAGCTCCCACTGCATACCATGTCCTCATAAGCCTCACCTCTAGCTGTGGTCTAAAGGTCCGCGTGATTTTGCTGTCTATTCTTCACATCAAACCACCCCTCTTTCTGAACCCCATGCAGAAGCTACATCAATCTTCTCTCCATTCTGTGAGCACACTGATTGCTTCCTTTGCACACTGTCCCCTTTGCCTCCTCAGTCTTTGCTTGGTTGGCTGTCTCATCCTTCAGGTAGTCTGAAATGTTACTCATTGATACTGTGCATTTCTTTCATCTCAGAAACATTTATAATGATTTGTTTGCTGTTAATCAACTGCTGATTCCATAGGTCATGGACCCCGTGTGTTTGCTTCATTCCTCTATTTCAAGAGACTCAAAAGGATTTCTATTAAGTTCTGGGACCTTAACGAGCTATTTCTCAAAGTACACAGAAGACCAAGCACGGAGGGTATAATAAGTGCTTCTCAAAACTGTTAGGCTAGATTTATCCAAACTGCTCTTCAGATTTCTCCTTCTGTAACATCAGCTGTTGGGCTAAACCTTCCCTTCCTCTTGTTAGCTATCTTAGTATCTGCCCCTGACTCAGGGTGATCTCATGCACAAGGGGATATGACCAATGGTTGATTTTTGGAAACCAATTGCCAGACATTTCTTCCTAGTCTGAGTGTGGAAGCTCTGTTGAAACCTGTTCTGCTTCATATTAGCCCACAAACTTCCACTGACAAATGGGTGGCCAGGAATCAAATGGCCAGGAATCAAATCTTCCTCACTTAAGGGAAGAATTCTACCACTGGACCACCACTGCCCTCAGGAACGTCTCTCCATTTCCCCTCATTATGTTCCCCTCTAGTGGGTTTGTGATAGAAGATTCAGACATTCTGCTTGTTAAACAGCTTCTTTTCTACTGGAAAATTCACCTGAGAGATTAGTAAAACCACGTTCACCTGCACTCCCTTGCATGATTGGATATCACGGGAATGGGGGGTGGGGGGGAGTGTCAATGGGTTTTCTAGAAGTGGTGATCTTGGGCCCTATGCAATTCTCTCTCACTCTCCTGGCCTCCTCCTGCATGCTCCCATTATCTTCTAACCTAGGGGAAATACTCTGAAAAAAAGAGGGGGAAAGGAGAGCAAAAAGAACGTAAGGAGGGGAGGATGAAGTTGTCAAGATGTGGTCACTGGCAGACACAGAATGACTAGCCTGGGATCACTATGGAGAGGCTGTTGCTAGGGTGGGCCTACCAGCATTTGAAATCTAAGAACACAACTTTTTGTCAGGGGAAGGGCAGTTCTACGGTACAGGAGGAAGCAGCCTGTTACCCAAGCGAGACATTTAATCCCTATATGGATGCTCCCACCCGTACCCCAGCCCCAATGACATAGGCTTCTCTAGGTACTGTGATATCCGCTGAGCGCAACAGGCTACAAGGGCGCCGCTGAGATGACACGTCTTGGCCTCCTCCTTCCCACCCCCCTCCCCGCCCCCGAACCTCTTGTATTCTTCCTGCTTTGGCTCCCGAGTCCCCGCCACGCTGAAGGAAGTACTGGGCTGCCCCTTTCCTGGAGAAAAGGCTCGCCGGTTCCGGAAGCCCCTTTGAGCCCTCGGGCTGGTCACGTCGGATCATCGGGTCACCGACCCGGGGAACTAAATGCAATCAGCTGGGGTGACTGGAGAACCCCTGAAATCTCCCTTGAAAGCCCTGCCTCATTGCATGCGCTCAGCCCCCTCTCACCTAACAACGCCCTGCTGCACCCTGGCAAGTCCCCTCTGCGCCGCCCCAGAGACAGAAGTGCCAGCTCTCAAAGCACCCTCCACCTTCACCGCAAACCTAGCCAGCTTGAAGGGGAAATTGCTGCCCGCCGCTCGGTCACCTTGACTGTCACTGAAGGGCCTCGCTTGCGGGCGTTCGAGGCCCCCGAAAAGGGCACGAGCGCGCTGAACGCCAAGCACAGAATGAAAGGCAGCAGCAGCCGGGGACCCGGGCCCATGGTGCGCTGTGGCGGTGGCGGTGGTGGCTCGGTGCGACCGCAGGCGCGGGGACTGCTGCAGGCACTCCGGTCACTGCGCCTGCGCCCTCCCGATTGAGGGGGTGGGGAGGAGACGGGGTGGCCGGGGCAGGGCGGGATCCCCAGTGCCTCCTCCCAGTGTAGCCTTGCCATCCAGACTCGGGCCGGGAGCGCGCGCTTAGGGCGCAGACTGACCCGCCCGAGGAGCGAGCGCAAGGCGCCAGGGTCAGCTCGGTACAGGGGCCCTGCGCCCCAGGAAGGCGCGAGCCAGGAGTCAGAGAGCTACGGGGTACGCGCGAGGCCTACCCGGAAAATTACTAGATTTGATTTTTTCAAATCCATGGGCAGTGAAACGTGCTCGAAGTGGGGTCTCTGCGGATCAGTCTCCTCCTGTGACGGCAACCATCCTCTTTGCTGCTAACCTTTGCTCGCTTCTCAGAACTTTGGGAACACCTGAATGAGTTAAACACAAACGAGGTTTTCCAAGATAATCTCTCATAGTTTGGAAAGAATTTAAAGGTTCACAGTTCCTCTCCACTGGAAAAACTTTTAACTGAGTTTTAAATACTTTTCGAGTCTCTGTCTTTGTAGACTGAGTCTAGGATCTTATCTACGTGTAACATTTACAATACAATGCAGCACTTACCTATCCAGGCCTGCAAACTTGGTCAAAACAAAGCAGGCAAATTGATTTTAGATTTACTTGCTGGATAGAATTTTTACAAACTTAAAAACTATTTTGATACAGATTATTTCATAGAACAAGAAGGCACCTTTTGCATTCTTTTTTCATTGATAGATTGTAAAACGGCATAGAAATCATGTCACAAGAAATGCACCACAACATTTACAGTACCTATGGTAATAGAATATGGATTTTTGTGTTTTTCTGATTTCCCAGAGTGTAAGAATGTTATGAACAGGGAAAAAAAGTTATTTTAAAATTCATTGCTTTTGAATCAGGACTTCAAAAGAACTTTTTGATTTTAGAGTAACAGCCTTTGAATTAACTAAAAACTAATAATAGCGTTCTTTCGGTTTTGTAGAGGCTGATGCCATGGCTTTCAAGGCAGGAATTTTCCTGTGTAAGCAGATGGGATTCCAGTTCAGGGAAGATCTAAAATTACATCGGAACCATTTATTATAGATAAAAGAAGGAACCGCCAAGTTTTAGGGGTGGGCAGAACATGTCTGAACTATTTTAGTAGATGAAGGATTTAATGTTATTCCCCTTCCTTTACCCTCATTACTAATAAAGAAAGAGTTCCTTATCTTCAAGATAAGGGTATCATAGCACTTATTCTGTGTGTTGTTGTTGTTGATTGCCATCAACTCATAGCGACCCTATGAACCAAAGGACAGAAGCCTTTCTGTAACTATTATCGTTTCTCCAGGTTCATAGAGTTTCCAAAGGCATCCCAAACCTGTCTTAAACTGGGAGCTCCACCAAACACGGGCAGCCGTTATAGCATTTGACCCCCCAATGGTGCAAGGTTCAGCTTCACAGCACACCCAGATTACCTCAGAATGTCAATTTGACAGAAGAGTGGAGTACAGCCGAGAATGTTCCTCCAAAATAAAACATAACACTAAGCCCTCAGGCCCAACTGATATTTAAATACAATTCAATCTGTATGCTGAGCAAATAATTGTAATGCCAGACTCTATGGTAGCCATAACTTGTCATGATCCACATGGTCAAATACCCTTAATAAAGCACATATAGATGTTCTCCTGGTATCCTTTACTTTTAGCCAGGATTAATCTTAAGTCATAATGATATCCTTGGTACCTTGGCATCTTCTAAATCCTGCTTGACCTTCTGGAAGTTCCCTAACTATGTACTGTTCTAGTCGTTTTTGAATGATCTTCAGCAGTATTTTGCTTGCATGTGATATTAATATATATATGTGATATTAATGAAACTGATAGTTTCCGCATTCTGCTGGATCATCTTTTTTGAAAATGCAAACAAATATGGAACTCCTCCAATCTGTTGGCTAATCAGCTATCCTAGAAATTTCCTGGCGTAGACTGGTGAGTGCATCCAGGGCTGCATCTGCTAATTGAACAAGACAATTGGTATCTCATCAATTTTTGGAGCCTGACTTTTTGCCTATGCCTTCAATGCAGCTTCCACTTCTTCCTTGATTACCGTTTTCTCCGGTTCATATGGTGGTGATGGTGGTGGTTGTTGTTGTTGTTATATGCTGTCGAGTGGTTTGCGACTCATAGCGACCCTATGTACAACAGCCCTAAACCCTGCTCTATCCTGTGCCAGTCACATTGCCTCTGACACACCCA